AAGTTTGGGTCATCCCCTGGCTCCAGAGGTTCAAGGTGCCCGTTCTCCGCTGTCGCTGACCTCCGCCTCTCAGCAACACTGCACTCCTGCTCTTTACTGCATGCGGTCACAGCCCCGCCCTGGCTGTCACAGGCCCTGGGACCTTCCGACGCAGTGGCTCACCAGTGAGCCGAAACGGAAGTGCCCGTGGGCTCATCACAGAGTAGCCAGGGTGGAAGAATGATACTGCCCGTGGTTAGAGTATGTATTTCGCATTTTCTTCTAACCTAACTAATTTTACCGATGCTCTGATGGTAATTATTCAGGTTCTGGACCTCTGAGCGAGCCCCCTCCGTCCCCTCCCACCTGATTACCTGGTGGTCCCACATCCAGCAGTGAAAGCCCAGAGATCCGTCCCTTTGGCCAAATAAATAATGGTTACAGCCCTGGGCAGGGGGACAAGTCAGCTACTGTGCATCTTGACCTTTTGTGCATGAATAAAACTATGAATAAATATGAATAAAGAACTGGCCATCTCAAAGCAACACCTGTTGCTTTACCTGTTAAAGGGACAGTCAGGAAGGTGAGGTGAACGTTGTGAGAGGTCCCTCTCACTGAGTGGTCTGATGAGTCTAGTGACTTCCATAAAGCCCCTTGGAGGCTTCTCTGGCCTTTCACTGCCAGCTAAACTATACTGAAGACCAGAGGAGCTGGAAACAGGCCAGCCTGTGTCCACATCATGAACTGGCAGGGCAGACAGCACCCCACTTTGGAGGGCGCTCACCCTCCAGCTGGGCTTTCTTCTGACCAGGAGTCATACACCCAAGTTCTTGGTGGACTCGATAATTCATAGGAAACAAAATCTGCATTAAAAACGTATGACAATTTGGTACGCAGTTGTAAACTTGATCACTATGTACAACCAAAATGAATTACCCTTTGGCTTCCTTCAGTGAGGGGAGAGCTTTAATTTCCAAATCCTCATTCATTTTTGCTGGCTCGCCTCCTTCTGGTCATTTAATTCAGGGACAGTGGTGGCAACTATGCCACAAGATAATTTATTTGATGATTCTAAAGGCCACGTTTTCATCAAGCGTGATTCTGAAGGCCACCCTTTTCATCAAGCCTTACAGTGCTTGGCCACGGACATGCCCAGGAGCTTGCAGACAGAGATGGGCATCACTCAGAGAAGACAGGCCCCCGGCCGCCCTGCTCCAGTAGGCCTGGCTTGAAATGCAGAGCCCTCGCTTTGGATTTCCTCCTCTCCAGGCCTCTTCAAACTATAGATTAGTAAAAAATACACTGTTGCCTTTAAAAAAAATATGGACTTGGGGCACCTGGGTGGCTCAGTCGTTTCAGCCTGACTCTTGATTTCAGCTCAGGTCATGATCTCAGGGTCATGAGATGGAGCCCCAGGTAGGACTCCAAGCTCAGCAGGGAGTCTGCTTGAGATTCGATCTCTCCCTCTCCCTCTGCTCCTCCTCCCCTGCTCTCTTTCTAAAATAAATAAATCTAAAAAATATGGACTTGATAATTCACAGGAAACAAAATCTGCATTAAAAACGTATGACAATTTGGTACGCAGTTGTAAACTTGATCACTGTGTACAACCAAAATGAATTACCCTTTGGTTTCCTTCAGTGAGGGGAGAGCTTTAATTTCTAAATCCTCACTCATTTTTGCTGGCTCGCCTCCTTCTGGTCATTTAATTCAGGGACAGTGATGGCAACTATGCCACAAGACAATTTATTTGATGATTCTGAAGGCCACCCTTTCATCAAGATAAATGAGTCCACCCAGCGTTGTTGACCCCATATATAAACAAGGTGGCAGTAACACCAGGAGTCAGAGCTTCAGACTCAGATGGGCCTCGGGACACAGCTGAACGGGCAGGATGTTGCAGCAAATAAAGGTAGGAACCCATGCGAACTCCCAGTTGGTCCTCATGAACATTTAAATACGGCCCAGAGCACATGAAGGCCAGGCCTCTCCTGAAAATTATTACTTAGGCTTCCAGGCCTGTGGGCCCACCTGGCGTCACCTGGCCTCACGGTCAGAAATGAGAATGCACACACAGGTGTGGGGGAGAGCAGCCTCACAGTACCTCTGCTCCGAGCTGAGCTGCATTTGAACCCCCTTCTGCCTAGCCAGGAGCCAGGGCTGACCTTCCCTCTGGGGACAGAGGAGGAGGCCTCAAATCTGAATCTCAAAACTCTCAGGTTTCAACACTAACCTATGCCCACAATTTTCAAAACATCATTTGGGGCCAGGTATTTAAAATCTCTTCCTATAAAGTAAACAGAAGTCTTAGAACTAAGACAAACCAGCTCCTGCAGAAGCCAGTTGACTGTGGGTCCCCCAATCTCAGGCTTCTGCAAACCTTCTCTACATGGGGACCTTCGGGCCTGAACTCTAGGCGACCTGAACTCTCTAATACGTCAGCTGTTTTATTATCCCCAATCTGCTTTATGTACTATACCTCACAGAAGACAATGCTTGACTTTAAATAACTCTTACACCAGCCACAGTGGCACCAGAAGGAAAGGGCCTGAGCCAGTGAGCCAGCGTGAGGCTACTCTGATTTCTGGAAGCCAACAGCTCATGTGCCTTTGTCCTCCACAGAGACACATCTGCCAACCACACTACTGCAGACGTCTGGCTACAGCTGCCTGTAGAGCAGGTCCTGTGGGCATGCTGCTTGTTCTAGCAACCTAACTCTGCCCCTCACCCCCACCCCATGAAAGACTTCGCTCTAGACCGAGCACAGCAAAGCCCGACCTGGGAGGGGACTGGCCAGAGAGCCATTTGGTAGGATTCAAACAGATGAAACAAAACACCCACATGGAGTTGGTGTGACTTACCATAGGTGGTGGACATCAACCAGCGATGACCTGAAGTCTCGTACTGCCGCCATTTTTTTTTTAAGATTTTATTTATTTATTTGACAAAGATAGAGAACACAAGTAGGCAGGGCAGCAGGCAGAGGGAGAGGGAGAAGCAGGCTCCCCACTGAGGAAGGAGCCAGATGCGGGGCTCGATCCCAGGACACTGGGATCATGACCTGAGCCGAAGGCAGACACTTAACTGACTGAGCCACCCAGGCGCCCCTTGCCAACCCAATTTTACCTGCGTTTTTAGACTTAGAGCTTTACTCTGCCTCGGAGAGAATGACTCTGACACAGAGGGAAGCTGTGACATCATCTAATGTTATTCTCACTGAGAAAATGTAAAGTTAAGTACCCAGGATTCTAAGACATATCAGAATTAGGACCGAAGAGAAAAAATACTTACTGTTCAAGGTCTCAAAACCTGAGCAAAACCAGTCAAAATTCTGACAGTCTTGCCCTGAGTGTTCTAGAGCTTTTTCCCTGGCCATGCCCCACACCTCTTCACTAGCTATACACAGACTCTCAGGGATTCAGCTCTACTGGCCCTGCTCCAGGTGTCCGCCCAGCCCAGCCCCTTTAGGGTACAGGTGGGCCCTGGCAGTGATGAGTGCCCCACCACTGTCATGGGGACCACCTGTGAAACTTGAAACCATGATGATACCAGGCCATTCCGAAAGACTGGGAAGCCCAGAGGACTCTGATGTGCAGCCTAGGTCCAGCTCCTGGGCTGGGCGGTGACCACCACAGAGCCAGGTCCTGGGAACACCACCCTGCCTCACCTCCCAGCTTCCCCAGCAGATTCTAAAGTCAAACCACGGGTCCTGACTCAGCGGTGTGCTGGCATGGTGTGCCAGTGAGTCTGGGCAAGTCCTCTCCACCCGCCCCCGCAAGCCTGAGTTCCCCCCGTAAAATGACTATATCTCCTTCCATCAGTAAAACGTCAGTGTTCATGAAAACACTTTCTAAACTACAGACCACCCTGCAAATGCATGTTGATGATAAAAATCTCAAAACAGGGCTTCTGTCCTATGAAAGGCAGTACCTGAGTCCCAGCGGAGTTTTTGTAATAGATAATAAGGAAGCACACAATGAATGAATCGCTTGATTTAATTTTAAGAGCATGTTAGTAATTCACATTAGAGTAAATCTGCTTTATGTTTACCACAGAAGCATACCACGTATTTAAACCTAATAAGGCTATATCTTGCACCTCACCATGGCAAATTACCAGATAAAACACAGGAAGTGACACGTTGAGACAGAAAATCAACATCTAAGTCAAAATCAAGACTCCTTTGCTGAAAACTGTGAAAAGCAATTTACCGGCTTCTTTGCATTGGTAAAAAGCAAGCACTAAAAAGTAAAGCCCTCTGTTCTCAATCAAGAAGTCAACTTCTATGCGCTCCACACATCTAAATTGTTTTTTATGGCAGAATGTACTCCCGTACAGCTGATATATGGGGTGAACCACCATCTATTAAAAAGCATTTAGAATCTATACTCAATTTTCTTTCCCTAAAGTAACATAAGTAACATTGAGTCATTCACCTAATACATTCTGGCTCACACCAACTGGACTGAAGCCAGTCTCTGACTCTGTCCTACTGCTGCACATGAAGGCATCCCTGAGCACGCAACACAACAGATGAGCCAACCTCCAGATCCTGACTCTTTCCCCTAAAGCGAGGCCAGGCCAGCGCGGGGGAGGGGGCCACGGTTGGGAAAGGGAGCAAAGGGCTCGTCGCCAACCAGTGCGACACAACACAAACGGTTCATGTTTTACCACAGCTGTCGTTGCCTATTTAAAATCTTTCCTTGTCAAGTTACTGAAAACGATTCCAGAGACGCAAGGTCTTCTGTACTCTCACGAACAGCCAGGACGGAGAGGAACAGGTATCAACCCCATTCTGCAGGCTGGGGACAAGAGCGACTTGCCCAAGGATGAAGCACTGCCGGGAGGTGGTAGCCGGAGGCGGCCGCCCTGGGAGGGGTGCGGAGCGAGCCAGATGGACTGCCGGTCCCTAAACAAGGTCCTGGCCAAAAGGATCCTCCTCTCAGCCCACGATGGAATCAAACTCCAGTCACCGTTAACCTAATTCTATCAGAGAAGAAATCCCAGGCAACACCATCAGAAAAGGTTAATGAGCAGAAAGTCAATTTAATTATCATTACTACATGGGTCCCTCTGACAAAATTAGGACCAGTGTGTACACACTTGTCGGGATATACAGCAATTTCGGGCTTGTGACACCCTAGCAAATGATATTAACATATGCACTCTTCGTCTGCTAGTCTAGAGGTAAGGAACAAAAGGGTGTCAACAGGACTCCCCTAGATTCTGCCCTGTAGTACCCAGCTGCTGGATCATTCCATCGATGCAGTCTGTTCACAGAGAGAAGCCCCGCAGGTCCTCTCTGAGCTGCTGGGATCAACATGCTTCTGTGCACTTTCTCAGGTCCTTGCCTTTAAATGGTTGATGAGGACTCAGGAGTCTTGAAAAGCCTCTGGTTCAGAGTGGGGCTGAACTGGCGTAGGCTGGGGGGTGTGAGCTATGGAAGGGACCGCACAGGATCCAGGGCCCATGGCCCACACAGCTCTGGAGAATACAGCTCTACCATTTACACAGCTCCACTCACTGGCCTCAACATACTTTTGCACTGAGCTCCCCTTGCCCCTCCTGTGCCCCACCCCCAGAGACCGGTATTACCACATTTTATAGTAAAGATACTGAGGCTGGCAAGACAGCCAGTAGCAAAAACAAGATCCCTGGACATCTCATCTACTGCTCTATCCACCAAACCCTGAGGCCTATTATAAGTGTATGAAGACTCCTAAGTCCTAGAGAATAGAATCACTGTACTTAGAAAGGTTTTTTAAGAGAAAATGGTATAACATGGACTTATCTTCCCTGTGGCATGTTATGCTTCCCTCTAGATGTCAAATCCAGGTGAGGGGTATCCCACAGGGCCCCAGACATTCACAGGGTCTCACTGTCCACTTCCAATGTCCATGTCCAAGGACCGGCAGGCGCAGGTGAAAAAGGCTGTGTGCACGGAATCTCCTGGACCAGCAGTGGTGCCCAGTGTGAGGACTCCTGGCACAGCCACGGTCAAGGCTGCTGAACAGACTGGAGGCTGAGTCTGCAGAGGAAGGGGGCCCTGAAGGAGCCCAGGTACAGGTGCCCGTCGTGCTCATGCACTTCGCTGATGTAGGAGGCCACCTGCCCATCAGGATCGTGCAAGCTTCTCCGGAAGGCTCCGCTGTCGCTGAGTTCTAGAACGAGGCTGTACCGTGGTACAAACTTCATCACAGTCTCCTGACTAAACAGCTGGGAGGGAAGCACAGTGTGAGCAGAGGTTAGCTTCTGACCAAGATAGTGGTGTGAGCAGATCCAGCCTGCTAAAAACAAGACCACGGGCCCAAAATGGGAGTCAATTATGCTCAGCTCCAAGTCACCAAACTGAGACCTAACTTACTTACAATTTGGGTTCTCCCAGAAATGGAATCTTAAGCCAGTCGATCAGGAATCACCTGATCAGCACTAATGAGGTAATTTGCCTGCCATCCCCTAAAGGAAAGTAGCCTGGTGATAACCAACCCGGTTTTTTGTCCAGTGTAACCACCTTGTTCCCGCTCCCTCCTGCCTATAAAAATTTTTCATTTTGTACTGCTCCTCCAAGCTCATTTGTATCTGCTGGATTGGATGGTGTCTGACTCATGAGCCACTGAACGAAGCCAATAAGCTCTTTGACATTTATTCAGATGAATGTTGTTTTTCACAGATGCCATATCCCCTCCCCATCTTGTAAGGGCCCAGCTCTTCCAATGACAGGGAAGCTGCATAGAGCAGAGGCAGATTAAACCAGCTCCCTGCCCCTGGCATAGGGCCTGCCACCTCGCAGGCCTCCCCCACTTCTGCCCCTGGGCAGAGCAGGCCAAGGAGCCTCCTGTCACCTGCATCCAGGCAAGGCCAGCCTGGCACAAGGATGGCAGCCTTCCAACAGTCCTCGCCACAGTACCCACCAGACCCAATGCAGGCGCCACTCTGAATGAGCTAGCTGAACCAAGAGAAGGGTTCATGGCTCCTCACACCTGAGGAAGACAAGATACTGAAGCCAAGCCCACACTGACATGGACCCCAGGACACCAGGTTAAAACCAGCACAGCCTAACCAGAATAAACGCCAAGCCCTCAGACTAGGTTTAAAATATTTCAGATGTGCAAGGTGCAAATGATGGAGATTTGAGAGCACTTCATGTTAGAGGAAAGACCTGGACTGGTTAAATGAACTTGTCCCTGCCCCCTAGGGCCCTGGCAGCTCTGTTTGAGGCCAGTGTAGAGATAACCTCCATGCTGAGCAAGGCACCCTTTAGGAGCCCTGTGGCTCAGCCAGGTCAGGGGCCACACAGGGCAACTGAAGGGTTTTAAGCAGAGAAACCAGAGAATGAGATATGCAATTTCTGGCAGAGCAGGACACCAGGGAGGAAATGATGACAGTATGCTACTGCATAAAACCAGTGAGTGAAAATAGGCAGATGTCTACCTTTTCACGTAAGGGGAAACAGCCAAACAACTGTAAATGTCCAATGAATAATGTCTCCTAGTCACTGGAAGGGTCCAAGCAGCCATACAAGTTGACTGTGTTCTAGAAAGTTGTATGGCAAAGTTGATTAAAACTTAAAATACTTCATAAGCCTTCCCACGGCCTATGAAATGCCACCTCACCTCAGTGCCAGGTCCCCCCTTCTCTGCTCTCTCCGTCTTATCCCTAAGGCCTCTCACCCCCTCTGCTGGGTTTAAGTTGCTTTCCCAGAAAGCTCTCAAATCTCCCCCCCAATTTCCAACCCCCAGTGCTGACCCTTCTCCACCCAGACTTTCTAACAGTTCTTCAAACTTGACAGACACCCTGGCTAAGGAGACAGGGCCGTGGACACCAGCTGCTGATCCTGAGACCCCTGCCCTCATGCCTAATCCCTTCTCTCCAGACCCTGCAAGCCCAGCACCACAGGGTCTTATCACGTGCTACGGACGTACCACCCCCACCCCAGGCTCTGCCCCACCACCTTTCCTGGCTGCTGCAGCCTCCTCCATGCCAGGCTCTTCACAGCCCGTGGAGCCAAGCTACAGGCTGCCCCCCACACAGCAGCTATGCTTGTCTCTTTAAAACTTTCTTTGTACTACATCACGCCCCTCCTGAACAATTCATCAGGAAGTGGCTTGTAGGGCCCAGCAAGGTAGGTGTGTGCAGAGGCTGGAGCCACAGTGGCCCAGACCACGAGTCAGTCCAAGCAGGGTGAGGCAGAGTCCATACTGGGGGGAGCGCAGTGGCACAGAATAGGGCATCGGAGCCCAAGCAGGGCCTGGCACAGGCTGGAAGAGCCCAGGCAGAGTGAGGACAGTGTTTACCTGGGGACAGCTTGGCACAGGCATCCGAGCCTTTGAGGGAAAAGGCAGGAGCCTCCCATGGTTGGGAGGAGGGAGAAGGCCCAGCGTGGGATGCCAGAACCCTAGCAGGGGCCGTGTGATGGGGGACACGGCCACATATTGGTGACATCCAGGGAATCTGATCAAACAGGTATGAAGGGTAATAGGATCCAGGTGTTTCACTATTAGAGAAGGGAAGTACTATTATGGAAGTGGAGAAAATTAGAATAAATCCTGTGGTATGGGACTGGAAGCCAAAATACCAGCATTACTTAGAGTTTTCAACTTAAATAAACAGATGATGAATAAATGAACATGTGTGTAAACACGTATACATACACCGCATATACATTTGACTTTGAACAACACCGGTCTGAACTGCAGCAGGTGTAGATTTTTTTTTTTTATAAATACAGTGCTGTAAATGTATTTTCTCATTCTTGTAATTTTGTTAATATTCTCTAGCTTACTTTATTGTAAGAATATAGTATACAACACACATAACATACAAATTATGTGTTAATGAACTGTTTGTTACTGGTGAGGCTTCTGGTCAACAGTAGGCTGTTAGTAGTTAAGTCTTTGGGGACTCAAAGGTTATATGCAGATTTCTTTTTTTTTTTTTATATGCAGATTTCTGACTGCACAGAGGCCAATGCCCCTAACCCCCGCGTTGTTCAAGGGTCAAATGTGTTTATCTACGTGTGAATACACATGCACATGTTCTCTGGCCTTGTCTGTTGAGGGGGACTAGGGCAGTCACCTGCCAAAAGCCATTAGCACATGTAGCAGCAGATCCCTTCTAGAAGGAACCCGGGCTCCTGGAGAAGTGGTCCATTACAGAGCTGGGGCATGATGAGCCTGAACAACGTGGGTTGCCAGAAAGCCAGGAACCACTCCAAAAGCGGTAGGGACATGGGCAAAGGTCAAGGAGCCACACTAAAGGGGCTCCCACTGGTCACAGTCGGACGATTTGAGCCTCAAAATAAATAATGGCAGTAAGAGACTATAAACCACTGAAAAAACTGGCAACCATGAGATCACACTGATGTTTACTTATTTAGAAAGTACCTCCCCACAAAATACTTGTTAATTACAAATGGAAAAAGAGTGGCTTCACCATAGAGAAGCCCGGCATTCACCACTGAACCAGGTGGCCAGTGCTGCCACCACCCATATGGGACAAGCTGATATCACGTGCCTCCTGACAGGACACACTGAGAACACAACTTCCGTGGTCTTCCTGCCAGAGATGTATAACCTAAATCTAATCATGAGAAATGCAGGATGACCCACACAGAGGAACATTCTACAACATAACTGACCCGTAATTCTCAAAAAGATCAAAACTGAGGAGCTGTTCCAGACCGAAGGAGAATAAAGAGACATGACAGCTGAAGGCCACACCTCAGCCTGGGTCGAATCCACGAGGGCAACTGCCCAAACCCTGATGATGACAGGGCATCAGGTCAGCAATTTACTAGCAAATAGTTCAGGGAAGGGAATTCTTTGTTACCCTCTTGCTACTTTTCTAAGTTTGACACTGTCTCAAAACTAAAAACAAACAAAAATCCTCCACGACTTCAATTATAGTTAGAATAAGATCTAGGCTCTGTGGCGTCTGCAAGGCCTATGGTCCTCTCCCACTGCTCTCAATCTGCCTCAGGAAGGTGCGGAGCTCTCCTGTGCCAGGAACCATGTCACTGCTCCAGCCCCTGCTCACACTTGTGGCCTCAGCTCTCTGAGCACACATTGCTTCCACAGTAATTTCCGAGCACCCACCATGTGCCAGACGCTGTTCTAGGTGCTGGGAACAAAGGAGTAAATGAAACAGAAGAACACCTGCTCTGATGGAGCATGCGTTGGGGGGGGGGGGGGGGGCGGGGTGGCAGACACACCACTACCACCACCGCTTCACTGTGGGAAAACGGACATGTACAGAAAGAGAACACCTACTGAAGTCAGCTAAGGGCATTGTACGCATATTCCTGTTACACTTTTTCAGTACCTAATGAAAACAGAACCATGCTGTTATTCTTCCCACTTGAAAGATGGAGGAATTGAGGCAGAGAGATCACATCATTTGCCCAGGGTCCCACAACTGGCCTAGCCTTCTTCAAAACCCCTGCACAAAACAAAAACAAAACAAAATAAAAAACAAAACCCTGTCCTTCCTCCCACCTCACCATTCTGCCTCCTCCTAGGTCACAGTGGGAACAAATGCTGGCTCTGGAGCCAATGAGGCAAAGAGGAGGAATGTATTATTTTTGAACAGACCAGGATTTTCCACAGTGACCCACAGAACTTGCAACAAAACTGAAGGCCATGGGCCGGCCTGACAGAGCAGGTGCCTACAGCCCCTCAGCAGGGCCCAGACACAGGGCCCAGCACTGTACAGACTCAGTAATTGCTGCCTGGTACCTTCCAGGGCCTTAAGTTACAATTATTTGACTATATCTATTCACTATTCAATATCCAATCTCAGTTTCCAACATCTCTTCAGCCTGTGAAATGGGGCTTGTTGGAAATGAAGATTTCTGCATGATGGAAGCACCCGTATCAGCAGGTTCCTCATCCACAGTGCTAAACATGGGGAGCTACACTGAGGGCATTTCACGGAAGTCACTGGAGGAAAGGCTGTGTTAAGAGGTCTGTGGCTGGCCCTTGGTGAGGGTGGGTGATTTTTTTTGTAACGAAAGAGTTTGGTGTGCTAAGAGGTCAAAGGTCAGGATCCTATGGGGATGGAGTATGACAGGAAGGTTTCAGAAGGCAGGAGGAGCCAGGGCGGGATGGGGTCCAAGGAAAGTGCGTCTTGACGTGTGGCTGCAGGAAGGCGTTCCTGATAACCATTTGAGGAGGAGCAGCACTGTGGTCTGCAGGGGCCCCATTTGAAGGCCAAGTTGCAGGGTCTGTGGAGAGGGGAGAAGGCCTGAAACAGCCATCACAAAGGGGCAGGTGTGACTGATAGGACATGATGGTGAGGGTGATGGTAAAAATACCCAGACAAGGAAGCCAGAAGGGTAACATCAAAGGGTTCAACTGTTTCAATCTACATTTCAGGCTGAGGCAGAAAACATGTATTAAAGAAGTCACTAAAAGTGGGGTGCCTGGGTGGCTCAGCCGGTTAAGTGTCCAACTCTTGACTCTCGATTTCAGGTCGGGTCATGATCTCAGGGTCATGAGATTGAGCCCTGCGTCAGGCTCCACGCTGAGTGTGGAGTCTGCTTAAGATTCTCTCTCCCTCTGCCCCTCCCCTCTGCTCACTCACACTTAAAAAAAAGTCACTAGAAGTAGTAAATATTATAAGCAGCACGAGAATTTTTAGAGCTCCAAAGGTCAAAAACGATCGTAATTAGATGCATTTTCATTTTGTTTTTTGGAATTACAGTTTTCATAGTTACCTTAAAAATCATTCTTTTAATATAGGGTCTCTCAGATAAGAAATCCAACATAGAAAACCCAGGGTTGGAGCGAATGGTTGCCATGCCGACCCAGTACCCTCCAGAGCTGCTGGGTCGGATGTTGTCTGGAAATCCAGGCAGGTTCTCCACGAACAGATCAGCCCCTCCCTTCATCAGGCCCGACAGGTAGAATCTGAAAAATTCACCCAAGCAAGTGGTGAGCAGAGGTCCCCAAATGTAAGGAAAACTTTTAGCCAAGCACCAAAATGGTCCTAATCCCAACTGATTTACAACTGTAAACGCGCCCACCGCAAAGGAAGACACCAGATGGTGAAAGGGGCCCTCACCAGCCCAGGACACAGCCAGGAGCAGTAGCAGGGAGCCCAGCACTCCCGGGAGGAAAAGGGACCCAGGATGTGTGGTCAGCATTAAATCAAGACCCTCCCAGACCGCAACTTTCAGCAGGCTGAGATGGAGGAGAAAGAAAAGGCACCCCTGAATTTTACTGCTTCCATTATCACACAAAGGAGAAGGTGCCCTTCCCCATCTCCAATCATGTAGCTCGACATCTCCCAGCAAGCTGGGCTGGGCCACAGCGAGTTCTGGCGCACCCCCAAAAGCTCGGCAGGGGCCACACGCACCTTCTTATCCTTGCCATTGTCGTCTCGGCCACCAGGACAAAGTCCTCCGCGGGAGAAAGCTGCACTCCATTAGGGAACCGCAACTGGTCCAGTAAAACCTTCACTTCCTTGGTCTCCGTGTCATACTCTAGTAGGCTGTGGGGCGCCAACAGCAAACGCTCACACGGGAGAGTCCATGGCCCCTGCCACATTGGAGCCTCACTCCCTTCTGAGCCTCAGGCAGGGGGCCTGCAGAAGGGGATCCACCTCATGCTGCAGTGACAAGGCCCCTGGTGGTCCTCCGCCCAGACCTGACTCCAGGCTGGCCCCTGGGGGCCTTCCCATCCAGAGCAGACCCCAGGCATCCTCTTCCAGAGAACCCCCCACTCAGTTCTCTCACCAAGCCGGGAACTGGCTCAGCACCAGGGAGGGCCCCCATGGCTCCAGCCTCAAAGGAGTCCCCCTTGGGAGGGATGACCTGAAACGGAGGCCAGCCTGGGAGGTGTCCACCCAGAGTGCCTAGACCACATGCTCAGATAGACTGGCCTGTTTTAATTTCATTTTTTCAAAGAGAAAGTGAGAACATCTTGTTCTGTTGTGTTGCATCCATCACCCGTTTCCAGAAGTCATGAAAGTCCTATCTCAAAAGCTGCAATATTATGCTCAGAAACACTCCAATGACTCCCACAAATAAGCTCTGCCGAAGTCACCCTGCCTGACTGATGATCTCACTGAGCAGAAGATCTGAAATGAACACTCACCGCCCATCATCCGTTCCCTCCATAACCAGAAGCAGATAATCTCGTCTCTGCCATTTGCTGCTAGAATCCGTAAAATAAATCTTCCTCCCATCCTGAGTTATTGTAAGATCATTCACAAAGGACATTTTCCTCCCCTCAATGGGTGTCTCAGAGGAGATCAGCAGTTTCACTTCACCTGAGGTAGAAGAAAGAAAAGGAGAGAGGGAGGAAAGGAGGAAGGGGCAAAGAAGGAAAGAAAGAAGGAAATAATAATGAAAGAAAGAAGGAAAGGAGGGAGGAAGAGAAGACCTGTTTTCCTTCTAAGAACTTGTATGTCAATAATTTCAAAGTCTCCATCAGCCTACCTGATTTCAAAGGGAAAACTAAAATGAGCTTCTCCATGTCATACGCTAGTAGATTTATTCCCTCTTCCAGTAAAAAACAGTGTTTTCCTTTCTTTTAGCTGTTAGGTGATTAATGTTTTTACACTGACTTCATTAACGGCAAAATCCTTCCTCTAAGGATAAGGACCTCTTCCTTTCACCAAGACCAAATGACTTTTAAAAATCTATCAAGAATCTTAGGTGAAAGGCAACTGTCTTTCGGGTTGCTTGAGAGAAATACAAAATGCTCCATTCATCCGGTGTTAAATATGGGAACAGTGACAGTGGTAAACTTTAAAAACAGGAGAATAACCATTTATGGAGTACTAACCTGTCTCCATGTACAATCTCATTTAAACCCTCCCACAATCCCACAAGGCAGGCACTACCATTAGCCCGGTTTCATGGGTGAGTAACCTGTGCACAGAGAGGCTAAGGCACCCGCACAGTCACACAGCCAGCCATCAGCAGAGGGGACCACCCAGAGCCCCAGCCCCCTCCCCCATGATAACAGATTCCTGCATCGTACAAACTCCTCTGCTGAAGCACGTACTGGGAGAAAAACGCGGGAGGAAGCAGACAAAGAGCAAAGGGACAGACAGAGAACAAACAGGAAGATAAGACAGAGACACAGGAAAATAAACACAGAAAGAGGAGTTCTGACATTTTGAGGAATAGACCCTGTGGCTAAAACACAAACAGGAAATTAGGGGATTGACCAAATGGGGTCATGAGTTACATGACAGCTGATATAGGTAGGCAATACTTCCAGGACGATTCAATGAATAAGAAAATATTAGAGTCTCCAGTAGATTGTACTGAACAAATTCTATTAAATCCACTTATGCACATATTGTTTAAAACATCTGAAATCATCAGAGAAGGAAATAAGGCATTGTTACGTACGTTTCCAGGGATTTACTTCAAATAGTCCCTTATACGCATCAGCCACAAAAAGGGTTCCATTGGGCCCCACCCGGATGCCCAGGGGCCTCCCACAAGCAGGCTCATCATCTCGAGTTTCTAGGGAAACAAACGGATAGGAAGCAGTGGCTGGTCCCAGATTCTACCTGTACCTCCAGTACCTCATCCATCCCTTCCTAAATATACATCATGCTGTTCAGAACAAAAAAGGATATGGCATTAGAAACGGACCCATCCCCTAGTATTCCAGCCCCCTCAGAACTTATGACAACTGTCTGGTGTATCCAGAGGGACCACCTGAGAATATGGATCTGAACATATGAATAGCAATTGGTATCCAAGAATTGTGTTCATATTAGCATCCTGAGACTTGAACAGTTAACTCAGGGACATCATCAGGACCCAGGCCCCAACTCTAGAATTCCCTCAGGACCTCAGTAATTGTGAGTTTAATCCCAACTGCCTGACCTGAATACTCTGCGCATCTAGGGCCTTGGCAGTTTTCCCTCCATCTGGCTTAAAGGGAGAGCTACTATTTTATTCCTCAGATTAATACCTGTACCCTTTTTAAACCTATGGCAATGCATATTTATTGCAGGTGTGTTTAACTGCCGAGCTTTATATGCAGGGATGCTTCTGTAAGCTGCTAACTGCAGAGGTGTTTACAGCAGGGGTGCTTACTGCAGGGTGCTCAGTGCAGGGTGCTTTCTGCAAGGTGCTCAGTGCAGGGTGCTTTCTGTGGGGTGCTTACTGCAGGGTGCTTACTATAGGGCACTTACTATAGGGCTACTTACTGCCAAAATACAGTGGAAAAGGCAGGTTAAAAAAACGAATGTAGAGTATGATTCCATCACAAAACCAGAGTACCCATGAACAGAAAGAGATCTGAAAATCTATGCCCTAAAATGTTAAGTTGTATCTGTGAAGACTCTGAGGTGACTTTTACTTTCTCCTTTGTACCTTTGTACAATGAAAATGCATCATTTTTACAAAAGCATTCTAGCTATTAAAAAACCATAACTACTAAGAAACCTGTGGGCTACCAGGTTTTAAACAGTGAGATTCTTCTACTCTAATTTCCCCAAACCTGAGTGACATAAGGGTGTTTTCACTCTGAATGACGCTGCTGAAATGCCTGAGCAGGAACGATATTTCAGCGTGCAAGTAAATGAGAGCCAACTGCTCTTCCACAGCAGCACTCTGACAATGGCTATTAATCTTCTTCAAAGTGACCTCAAGAGTGAACACGGGCCCCTATGGAATGGCAGGGGTGCAAGGCCCGTAAGGTTAACTGGCAGGTGCAGGGGCTACTGCCTAGTTGGCAAGCTACACCTGCACGGTGACAATCAGGTACCATGAGGTCCAGGGACCACATGGCAAATGAAGAGCTGGTGGCAGCACTCAGGTCAGGCTCTGTCTGCCAGGTGGTTGGGGCTCTTCTTCTGCAAGGATGAACCTGACTTCTAGGAAAAGTAAGCTCCACACAGCCATTCAGCACCTTTCTCAATAACCACAGACATATATCGGGGGTGCTGTCACTGACTTACTGCATGGGCCTGAACCAAACTGGGCGATGGTCTCTATTTCACCATTTTCAAGTTTTACGATCCGGCCATCTGCCGTACCAGTAAACATCACATCTGTTTAAAAAAATAAAAAGGAATAAGAGAGTTACTAGATTAGCCTAAGAACTGTGATCATGCTGCCTTCTACAACAGAGGTGGCTTGTTTGTATTTTTCATCTCTAGAAAGAAAATGACAGCTTTGAAGATGAAGGAGAAGTGATGTCTGAGTCCTTAAAAAGTCCTTAAAGCATGCAGTCATAAAACCATGGGGGCCTGGGGCACTGGCACATGGGCTTGAACCTGACATTGGAGCAAGAGTACAGAAGACACCAGTTAGTGAAAAAACTGTGAGGATTTTCCACCCTCAAAAGAGCGCGGACTCTCGGGCTAACACTCAGCACTCAAGGACATGTGTTCATGTTTGCCTCAGGTCGATGTCTGCTGCTGACACTGATTATACCCAACTAAAGGGGAAGAACAGCTAAGAAGCCCCTTGGGATAAAACTAAAGCACATTAAGTGCTCAGTTCATCAGCACATGTACTACACTCAGAACAACACAGAGATTAGTATGGCCCCTGCACAAAGATGACATGCAAATTCGTGAAACATTCCACAGTTTTTGAACGTATATGGGCAAACTCTAGGGCAACCACTAAAACAACTTTTTTAGAAAAAGTATAATTGATATGCTAAGCAAGAAGACAAAATGGAATCATATAAAATGGTCAATTAAAACTATAAAAGCTATACTTGTGGTGAATATAGCATAATGTATAAACTTGTCAAATCACTAAGTTGTACACCTGAAACTAACACTGTGTGTCAACTATACTAAAAAACAAAACAACACAAAATAAAAACTATAAAAGGCAGAGAGTGAAGACAAAAATAGGAACAAAAAACCAAAGGAACAAGTAGAAAACAGTAACAATTATGGTAAATATTAACCTATATCAATTATCACTTTAAACATCAATGGTCTAAATATACCATTAAAAAACAGAGACTCTCAGAGTAAATCAAAAAACAAGACCCAACTACATGTTGTCCATAGGAAACCCACTTTAAATATAAAGACACACATAGATTAAAAATAAAGGGATAGAAGATATACCATGCCAACACTAATCAAAAGAAAGGGAGTAGCTAAATTAATCTCAGAGCCAACTTCAGAGAAAAGAACATTATCAGAGATAAAGAACATTATTACATATAATAAGTGGTCAATCTTCCAAGAAGACATAATAAGCTTTAATGTGTATGTGCCTGATAACAAATCATCAAACTCCATGAAGCAACGCTGATAGAAATGCAAGAAGAAATAGATAAATATAAGAGTTGAAGACTTAAGCATCTCTCTATCAGAAATGGACAAGTTCTAAAGACAGAAAATCAATAAGGACATAGTTGAACACAACAGCACCATTGATCAACTGGATACAACTGACATCTATCAATTGCTCAACCAAATACAGCAAAATACATATTTTTCTCAGGCTCACATGGAATATTCTAAGCAAGACAGACCACAATCTGGGCCATAAAACATACCTTGACAAATTTAAAAGAATAGAAATCATATATTGCTCTCAGACCACAATGGAATTAAAATACAAATCAATACAGAAAGATGGCTGGAAAATCCTGAAATACTTAAAGATTAACATACTTCTAAATAACTCACAGGTCAAAGAAGAAATCTCAAGAGAAACTGAAGAACATCTTGAACTAAATAAAAATGAAAATACAACTTCTCAAAATCTGTAGGATGCAGTGAAAGCGCTGCTTAGGGAGAAATTTATAGCATTGAATGCATATATTAGGAAAGAAGAAAGATCTAAAATCAATTATCTAAGTTCCCATCTTAGGAAACTAGAAAAAGAAGAGCAAAGTAAACCCAAGGTAAACAGAAGAAAGAAATAATAAATAAAAATTAGAGCAGATATCAATGAAATTGAAAAGAGGAATCAAAAGAGAAAAATCAACAAAACCAAAATATGGTTCTTTGAAAAGATCAATAAATGATAATCTATTAACCAGGCTAACTAAGTTAAAAAGAGAGGAGATACAAACTACCAATATCAGAAATGAAAAACAGAACATCCCTACAGACCCCATGGACATAAAAGGATAATAAAAGGAATATCATAAACAGCTCTATGTTCACAAATTTGATAACCTAGATGAAATAAACCAATATTTTGAAAAACACAATCAGCCAAAACTCACACAAGAAGAAATAGACTATTTGAATAGGCCTGTATCTATTGAAAAAATGAATCAATAACCAATAACCTTCCAAAACAGAAAAACCATAAAGCTTTCGCCAATGGGTTCAGTGATGAATTCTACCAACAATTAAGGAAGAAATGACACCAATTCCCTACAATCTCTTCCAGAAAATAAAAGAAGAGGGAATATTTCCTAACTTATTCTATGAAGCCAGCATTAGTCTAATACCAAAACCAGACAGTCATTACAAAAAACTATAGATCAAGATCTCTCATGAACACAAATGCAAAAATCTGGCTCAGTTGGTTAAGCATCTGCCTTCAGCTCAGGTCATGATCCCAGGGTCCTAGAATTAATAAGTGATTATGGCAATCATGCTCCTCCCTCCTGCCTGCTTCTCCATCTCCCTCTGCTCCTCCCCACCCCACCCCACACCCTTGCTCGTGCTCTCTCTCTCAAATATATAAAATCTTTTTTAAAAAATTATTAAAAAAAAAAGAAAAATGAAATTATCAGAACAGTCCAGATGAGGAATTTGAATAGGCCAATGTTAAGGGAGGATATTGTATATATTGTCAAAGATTAGAAAAGGCACAAGCAAGCACAAAATAGAAATTATAGCCCAATATCACTTATGAATTTAGATACAAAAATTCCAAATAAAACATTAACAAAGTAAAAAAAAAAAGAAAGAAAAGAAAATAGGTAGTAATCCATAGTATCAACAGGTTAGAGAAAAATCACATGATCACATCTACAGATGCAGAAAAGCCCTTGACAAACTCCAACACCCATTCATGATAAAAACTTTCAGCAAATTAGGAATAGAAAGGCACTTGCTCAACTTGAAAATACCTACAACTAACATCATAATTATTGGTGACAAACTTGGAAGCTGTCCCACTAAGATGAGGAAAAAAGCAAGAATGTCCCCCCTCACCACTCCTTCACAATACTGTACTAGAAATCCTGGCTAATGCAGTAAGAGAAGGAAATAAAAGGTATACTGACTGAGAAGGAAGAAATAAATCTTTGTTCACAGATGATATGACTGTCTATGTAGAAAATCCCAAAGAATCAACAACAACAAAAAAACTTCTAGAATTAATAAGTGATTATGGCAAGGTTTCAGGATACAAGGATAATATACAAAAGTCAATTACTTCCCTGTATACCAGCAATGAACAATTTAATTTAAAATTTAATTTACAATTTGAGCAGCTGATTTAAATTAAAATTTAATTTAAAATTAAAAAGAGAACAGCATTTACATTAGCACCCAAAAGAATAAAATATTTAGGTCTAAATATAGCAAAATATGTACAAGATCTATATGAGGAAAACTATAAAACTCTGATGAAAGAAATTAAAAAACTAAATGGAAAGATATTCCAGGTTCATGGATAGGAAGATTCAATATTGTGAAAAGGTCAGTTCTTCCCAACTTGATTCATAGATTCAAAGTAATCACAATCAAAATCCCAGCATTTTGTACATATCCTAAAACTGATTCTAATGTTCATATGGAGAAGCAAAAGAAGAAGAACAAAGCCAGAGGTATGACACTACTTGACTTCCAGACTTACCGTAATGCTACAGTAACCAAGACATTGTGGTAATGGCGAAAAAATTAAGACAAATAGTTCCATGTAACAGAATAGAGTCCAGAAACAGACCCACATAAATTAGTCAACTGATGTTTCACAATACAATCTTACATAATATATTGTAATACAATGGAGCAAAGATTGTATTTTCCCCAAATGGTGCTGAAACAATTGGACATCCACATGTAAAAATTAATCTAGACACAGACATTGCACCCTTCCACAGCAGTTAACTCAAAATAGACCATAGACCTGAATATAAAACACGAAAGTATAAAACTCCTAGAGGAGAACATAAGAGAAAATGTAGGTGACTTTGGGTGTGGTGATGACTTTTTAGATACAACAATAAAGGCATAATTGATGAACAAATAACTGTTAAGTTGGACTTTATTAAAACAAACTTCTGCTCTGTGAAAGACACTGTCAAGAGAATAGAAAACAAGCCTCAGACTGGGAGAAAATATTTGTAAAATATACATCTGATAAGGACTGTTATGCAAAATATACAAAGAACTCTTAAAATCAACAATAAGAAAATGAACCCAATTTTTGGGAGATGAACCATGAGAGACTATGGACTCTGAGAAACAAACTGAGGGTTCTAGAGGGGAGGGGGCTGTGGGGATGGGTTAGCCTGGTGATGGGTATTAAAGAGGCATGTACTGCATGGAGCACTGGGTGTTATACGCAAACACTGAATCATGGAGTACTACACCAAAAACTAATGATGTAATGTATGGTGATTAACATAACATAAAAAAAAAACCCTGAAAAAATGAAAAAAAAAAAAAGAAGAAAATGAACCCAATTTTTAAAATGGCCAAAAGCCTTAGATACCTTACCACAAAAGATAAGCAAATAGAAAATAAGTATATGAAAAGATGCTCAACATTATATGTCCATTAGGGAATTGCAAATTGAAACAATGAAATACCACTAGACACCTCTTAGAATGGCCAAAAATCTAAGACACGGACAACACCAAATGTTGATGAAGATGTAGAGCAAAAGGAACTCTCATTCATTGCCGGTCAGAATGCAAAATGGTGCAGCCATTTTGGAACACAGTCTGATGGTTTCTTACAAAACTAAATATATTCTTAAAATCCAGCAACTGTGTTCCTTGGTATTTACCCAAATGAGTTGAAAACATAAGTCCACACAAAAACCTGCATGTGGATGTGTATAGCAGCCTTATTCATAATTGCCAAAATTTGGAAGTAACCAAGATGTCCTTCAGTAGGTAAATGGATAAACTGGTACATTCACACATGGAGTATTACCCATCAACAAAAAGGAATGAGCTATGAATCCATGAAAAGACATGGAGGAACCGTAAGTGCATATTACTAGGGAAGGAAGCCAATCTGAAAAGACTACATGCTACGTGCTACATGATTCCAATTATATGACATTCTGGAAAAGGCAAAACTATGGAGACAGTAGAAAGATCAGTGCTGCCGCAGGTTGCAGGGTGGGTAGGGATAAACAGGTGGAGCACAGAGGATTTGGGGGGATTTTTAGGGCAGTGAAACTACTCTGTATGATATGATAATGGTGGATACACATCATTCGTACGTTTGTCCAAACCTACAGAATATACAACACCAAAAGTAAGCCTTAAGGTAAACCATGGCCTCCAGGTCATAATGACATGTCAGGGTAGGTTCATCTACCATGTTCCATGCCGTTGCTGAGTGTTGATAACAGAAGAGCCTGTGTATATGTGCTGGTGGGGGGCAGGGTATGAGATAAATCTCTTCCTTCCCCTCAATTTTGCTATGAATCTAAAATGCTCTAAGAATCGTGGAACACTACATCAAAAACTAATGATGTACTATATGTTGGCTAATTGAACATAATAAAAAAATGCTCTAAGAAATAAATTTTATTTAAAAAAATTAAAGTATGTTAATTGGTGATTACTCTCCCCCGCACCCTCCTGAGGCTAGTGCCTCCAGCCCCCAGGACAACTTCCAAATGAAGCTGGGAAGCAGCGGCTCCCTGGGGGCCTCCCTGTGGTTCACACCTGCAGGGGGGTAACGGACCCCCACTGTGCCTAACCAGAAACGTCAGAGAGAGAACCACCAACTCCTTTAAGGGAAAAAGGCAAACCCCGGTGCCATGGAGCAATAGGGTGTCAGCCCAAGAGGAAAAGGGAGGGGACAAGAGAAATATTCTCTTTGAAAGATAACAGAAAAGATCACTTAACTCCTAGGAGTTCCAGTTTTAAATATCAATTTTTATTTTTCACCAAAAAAACAAAATTTGTTACATTAATAAATGTCAATGTCTTTTGAAGAGAAACTCGAGGTTCTACCATGAAAGGCCTATCCCTCTTACAAATTTGACTGCCAGCCAAACAAACCAATGGTTGCAGAAATGCACCAGATTTGGGTCCCACATCCAACAGCAGGGGAAAGAGAAGCAGTCCATGCCACTGGGAGACCACCCTGCCCTGCCCATAGCAAAGCAGCACACAGGAGGCAGGAATCTACACCGCTCCATGGAAGCACACCACACGCAGAATGAGGGCAGCCTGCCACAGGAAGCTGCTCAGAAATCCTCATGCCATTTTCAGCTCTTCAGCTGCTCATTAACTGTGTCTTTTGATTCCTGAGCTTAAGCTTCATTCTCAAAGGCAGAAAATGCCTAGTGGCTAGAGACTCAAGAATTAGAACCAGACCCATGTCTAGTTTTTAGGTTTGGGCAAGTCTGAAGCAGATAGTTAAGTTACCCTTAAACATACCCACCAAAGTCAGCTTCAAACAAAACAAACAAAACAAAACAACAGTGGAAATACTGAGAATCATTTGTATTTTTTTTTTTTTAAAGATTTTATTTATTTGAGAGAGAGTGAGCAAGCATGAGCAGGGGGAGCAGCAGAGAGAGAGAGAAAGGGAGAAGCAGACTCTCCGCTGAGCAGGGAGCCCCACGCGGGGCTCGATCCCAGACCCCTGGGATCATGACCATAGCTGAAGGCAGATGCCCAACCCCCAACCGACTGAGCCACCCAGGTGCCCCTCATTTGTATGCTTTTCAAAAATGGAATCTAGGCAAAGACAAACTGAATGAAGAAACAATGTCCTATCAAGTAATACCTACCTTTGATAAATGAGCTAAACATCAGTATATTTTTCCTTTTTCCTTTCAATTTAATGGGCCCAACACTTTGACAGAATAAAGTGTTCCACACACATGAACTCAAAACCACCCAGCACTGAAATGACCTGTAACTCAGAGAGCTGAGGGGTCGCGTCTGCAGCTGAGGAGAACAGCCAGGGCCCCCCACCCAGGAGGAGCAGGGTGCATCAAGGCTGCTCTGGCAGAATCCCCCTTCAGGGAGTCTTGAAGTTCCAGGGCTTTACTCACCCCCAATATTTGCTATGGACTCTGGCCCATTAAGTTGATTTTCAAACAACCTTTCCGCCTGTTGTAACTTCGTATTTGGTTGCAGAACGCCAAGCAAGAGAGGGGGTTCTTTGAAGCTGTAAAATAATGCAATTACAGGGATTGGTCTATAAGAAATACATGAAGAAAGTGTTTATTGAGGACCTTCATGCATAACTCCCCATTCTTTGATAAAGAGGGCATGTTGCAACAACATCCTTAGTTGCCAGAAACACAAAGGTTAAAGAAAACACCATTCTAGGATATTAGAAAAGGTCATAGTATAAAAAAAAAATTAAATATGATTATGGCTAATCCAAGAACTTTGGTAATCATCTGAGAGCATCTGGGGCCTCCATTTACCTGAGCTCCAGTCACAGTCCAATGCCCTCGGGACAGGTTAGACCTCCTCCCACCCTCTGATTCACACGCCCCGGCATTTATTTTTCCAGTGCCTGCCCCGTCATTAAAATCCAATTGAGACAGAGGGGAGTGGTGCTGACATTTCACAGCTGATAGCCTTGCTTCCTACTTCACAGAGAAGACAGAAGGAACGAGAGGAGTTTGTCCTGGGGCTGGCGCCACCAGCCCATCATCCAGCACAGGTGCACCCTGACTCCCACCTGTCCCTCTCAGGGCCCAGCCTGGTTTCTCTCTGAAGCCAGCTTCCACTGGGCCGGGGACCCTTCCCCTGACAACAGACTCAGCTCCAGGGATCTTCCCTCTCTGCTGGTCCTTCACAGCCTTCAAATCCTGCTGGTGGCACCCTCAGAAGACAGACATGGTTGAAGCCCTTCTCCCCATGTCCTCAGCTACCACCCTGGTCCAGGCCACCATCTTCTGGCCCCCACTTCCTCCCTTGTTCCCTACAGTGTATATCCTCAACCCAGCACCTTGTGAAATACAGTCAGATCACAGTGTTCGGCTCTCACAGCCCTACAACCGCCCCATCTCAGCCAGAGCCTATGGCCTTGCAGGGGCGCCCTTCCCCCAGCAGTCTGGCCAGTCACCTCTCTCAGGTCCTCTCCCCCTTGTTCACTCTGCCCTCCCCAGGACCCTTCCTGCTGGTTCATGACCTAACAGGCACCTCCCACCTAAATCCTCGGCCCCAGCTCCTCTGTGCTTTGCCCTCTCCCTGAAGAGGACACCTGTTCTGACCACCCAGTACAATACTCCAGACCTCCCCTCAAAAGCCCAGCCCCTTACCCCACTCTATTTTTTCTATAGCACTTAGCAGCTTCTCACTTCTCTGTTACATATATTGTCTGTCTATCCCCACTAGAACACATGGCCCATGAGATCCAGGGGTTGTCTGTGTTTTTCACTGCTGTATCTCAAGCACCTGACATACAGGAGGCTCCCAGTGAACACTGTGGGAGGGAGGAAGAAGCAAAGGAGGGAGCGGAGCAGGAGACTATCTCCCAATTCCCTCCCTACCTTGCCCTGAAGCAAGGCAGTTTCCTAGCCAGCCCACTGGAGTGGGAGAACCAAGAGGGAAGGGGTGGTGAGGCTGTGGAATGATGAAGAAGCTTCCCGGTCTTACCCAACCCCTCTCTTCCCTGCAGAGCACTTCACTTCCTACTGCCTCCTCTGAGTCAGGCATGTACTCAGGACACAGCACAATTTCCTCTGAATAAACTCCCCCAACCCACCCTTTCACTCTACCCTGCCTCCCAATTATGGCTTTCACCTGCTTTAAAAAAAAAAAACTCATGATTTAACTAAGTTAATAAAGTTATTAACAAAGTTATTAAGTTAATAAAGTTATTAGATAGGTAACTTACCTAATAAAACTAGGAGTTTTATTTCCAAAGGAAGAGAGCAGGGCTGCAACCCCTGCATACTTTGGTGAGAAAAGCCTGGGTTATGGAGATGGACACAGCTGGGTTCGAATTCTGACCTTGGAAAGGTCAGCCCTCCCAAGATGCATGTGAAGACTGAACAACACAAACATGTACAGCCCAGGGATAGAGGACAGCACACCTGATACTCAGCCACCCCCTTCTGTCCAGTCCTTGACCTTGCCTAATTCCCTATACAAAGGAAGTCCTCAAGAAATACTTGTAGCATCAACCTAATCAGTACTTCATGCACCATCCCTGCCAACAAACAGCCTGAGTATTATCTCAATAGGGAGGCAAGAAGAAAACTTATATGAGAAAATGCAAAGAACGGGCAAGAAAGGGCCCTGACTTCTGCAGCCTGAGCAGCAGGAGCATCAAGGAAGAACGGCCTCAGGAAGGCCAGCAAGGCCACATGGACCCTTGTTAAAGCCCATGAACTCATAAACCCTTATCAACTCCCTGTTAACTCCCAAGTCCTGCTAACTCATATTAAGTCCCATTAACTCCATGTATCAAATGTATCCTGAAAGAACTGACCAACATCCTCCAGAAATCAGGATGTCATATATGTCCTACCTGCCACAGTCCACCAGTCTTCCAAACAAGGAAGAAAGAAGGCTGCCTTGCATGGCAGGTTTTTGACAAAGCCCTGCAACCTTCCCAGTGACTGCTCCCTAGAACTGAAATCAACTGCATAATAATCCATTCTGGAGGGTCTGCACCCATCTTTATTTTTCTCTGTGACATCCTGGCCATTGCTAAGTGTGGTCTCAGCCCTCCCGGGAGGTCATGTACACCAGAGGCAGACTCTCTGAGGCACTTCCGTCAGCCGTCCTCCCACCCGGCCAGTTGGCCTGATCCTGTTCCCCACCGCACCAGCTGGTGGAGAGAACAGAGGTGCAGCAGAAGCTGGGAGCTCTGCTTTCCCGTCATTGTCAATACCGCAACCATTTACTTGCCCCAGACAGTGCATTTCCCTCCCTTGCTCTTTTTGCTCTGAACAGAGTTTGAAAGAAGCCCTTTTTGCTGTTGTCATTAGCCAACTAGATTATCCAGAAAGCCCCAGGTCAGTTTCTATTTGGGGTGGGTTGAGCCACATCCTTCTACCTGTTGACAGGGGTTAGCAAGAGAGAACCCGTATCCCCCACAATGTGTCCTGGGAGCCGCCCCCCAAGAAAGGACACCCAGTATGCCCTTGGGCCTAGCTCGGGCCAGAAAGACACATGGAAGGGTCCACCGACACATCAGGAATTAGAAGCCAACATTGTCATGGGTCTAGAATGCCCAGGCCTTCACCCAATCTCAATGTTATGCTAGCTAATTATGTTTTAACAGCACCTTGTACCTTTACTAATTCTAAATCCAATAACAAAAAGTTGTTCTTGTATACAAATGGCAATCTAAGGTCAGAACTGTGTCCTCTTTGTATCTTTGTATTCAGCTGGGTACCTACCTTAAGCATTCTAGATGCTGAATACATTCTCAGTGAATTGAGTCCAATATAAACTTGAGCCTGAAGTTTTTAAACTTACTTAAAATAAACTTCCAAAAGCTTCACCTCTCTAGAAAGTTTCAAGAGGAAAGGGGAATTTACTTATCAAACAGGATTGCACAACCCTTTTGGCATAAGCTCAACATCGATGTCATAAATCATCACACCATTAAGAGCCTGGCTCTGCATTACTATAATTACAAACGTGAATATATTTCACAGAGTCCCTAGGTATACACTATTTTTTTCAAGTTATAATGGACTGCATTCCTCATAGATGCCCACCAATGAGAGGTAACTTAGGAAAAGTAGAATACTAATTACAAGGCTTTTGAAAAATCAGTACTTATAAAATTTAAACAAGGTAACTTAAACTTAACCTTTGTGTGTGCTTTTGCCACTTCAAATGAATTCAGGTGAATTAACACATAAGCTTCTCTTATTTGGGGTTTTTCTGGGTTTTATATGTGGTTTGTACAGTTTTGTTTTTGAAACCAGATCATCAACAATACCATTCACATATGGTGTAACATCTGATTCCACACAAAACTCAGACACTAAAGAAATCACAAATCTCTCTCCCTCTCTCCTAGTAGCTTACCTTTCAGATCAAATTGGTTTGTTACCCTAGACACTATCCCACCCTACCCTTGCCAAGCAAGCCCTCCCAAGAATGGCAATGACAGCTCACCTGAGAGGCTGTGGGTCTATGGGAGAATCCAGCAGCAGCATGGCTCCAAGCAGGGGAACGGTGAGGGAGACAGCCAGCATCACGAAGGTCACTCGGAACACACGGCCACTAAAGGAGCTGCGAGAGATGAAATATACAAAGGCGATCAGCAGAGGCTCAGCTGGGACGAGCTCAGCTGGTCTCAAAGCCTGTCAAGCCGGAGCAGGCCTCTAGCCTGGTGTCACCGTGAGACCATTGACCTCTGTGGCTTGTGATGAAACTTTAGGGCTGTTTGCTACGATTGGCAAACATGCCTCTGTTCTTTTTTTTAATCTTCCAGCTGTGTGGGAAACACTTATCAGTTATTTGCCAGACAGTCTGATAAGCTGTACCTTCAACCCTCTAAGCGGAGTCTCAAAGAGGGCAAATCAAAGAATTGATAAACACAAAAATGGAAGAAAAGAGGTGCAATGAAGTAATGCAAACACACTTGTCTACAGAGAAGACGTGTTTTCCAAAAGCCACTATTTCCTGGTACTTGGATTCACAGCAGCAACACTCAGTACTGTGGGTCCCTAAGATTCACAGCTTTGGTAGATAAAAGAGACAGAGACAAATTCATGAAGCAAAGAGAACAAAAAACAACCTCCTGAGCATCCAATTCTCCAATCATTTTGCCAATCACACCACACCTTCAAGAATTCAAAGCAAATCCCAGCTCTCTACCTGGTAGAGGTCTGACAGATACTGACAGTTACTTACAAAGAATCTATACAATCACAATTCCAAGTCACCACTACTAAAGCCTTGGGAAGATCTAAAAGCTGCCTTGGGAATCTTGTGTGATGTTTTTGGACAAATGACCAATGGTAACTAAAATATCTCTCAAACAATCCTCACATACACCATTACTCGTCTGGTAAACAAGCACATTTAGCCTCTTGCTACTTCACAGGATTATTATTTGCTTTAAGTGCATTCAGATTTATTATACACTTACATCAAGATTAACTTTAAGCAAATAAAATCATGAGCTCCTAAGGTGGAGAATCTTTTTCTATCCAAAAAAAAGGTGACTTAAAGAAAAAATATCAAGACTCACACTTAACAAATACTTCATTGAAGGGCAGTGTTTTGTTTGACTTTTGACAGGCTAGTCTTCCGCTGTATAAACCTGATTCCAGGTACAGTACATAAATGTGGGGGCCTAAGGGCCAGTCCTAACTTTCACAACAGCCAGCTATGCCACTTCAGGCAGGTTTCTTCACACGAAGCCCACGGGCTCCCCACTATGAAACAGGGCTTTGTAACCTCAAAGTCCTGCCCAATTTGAACATGCATGATTTTAATAAATGAATATGGCAGAAAATGAAGCATCTGTTTCTACTGGGTTGAAATAAAAGGTAAGGGGAAAGAAAAAGAGGAGGAGGGAGAAGATTCTCCCCTAGTGCCCCCACAAAGGAGCGCGGTCCTGCCGACACCTTGATTTCAGCACAGTGAGAACTGTCCGGGACTGCTGACAGTCAGAACTGCAAGTTCATCCAATGGTGTTGTTTAAGCCATGAAGTATGTGGTCACTTGCCATGGCAGCCATGGAAAACTAAGGCAGTTTTCTAATTAAACTATTTTTGTGGCCTGGAAGTGGGGTGCTGGTGCAACAAATACCTCAACACTTGGAAGTGGCTTTGGAATCAAGCAGCAGGCAGAGGAAGGAAAAACGCTGAGAAGCAGGACAGAAAATCTTGTCCAGATTTCCTTAAACAGACTTCGTAGGAAAACGGATGTTAAAGACTGCTCGCAAGGGCTCAGAAAGCAGTGAGGAGCGTGGTAGAGAAAACGTACGTTCATCTCAGGGGATGCCGAAATCATTGCGAACAGACAGACACTGAAGGTGCCGCTGGTAAGGGCTCTGAAGGGTGTCAGGAACAGGTTATTGGAAACTGGAGGAGAGCAGATCCTTATTATACTGTGTCCTGCAGCAATGTGGAAAGCAGAACTTGTATATGATGAACCAGGATGCCGAGCTAAGGCCCTTTCCAAGCAGAGTGGAAGGTGCAGCCTGGTTTCTTCTTCTCCTTTCTCTTCCAGAGCAGGACAGCATAGGGAGCAGCAGTGAGCACTTCCTTTTGCCTTTGACACTTCCCCCTTTGGTAACGAGAACCCTATTCTGTGTCTGTCTACCTTCTAATAATCTTCCAAAAACGAATTTTGTTCCTAATTTCCTTCTCTTCACTCACACAGGGCTCAGAGCCCAAACTCTACCCAGGCAAAACGCCAGGTCACCAGTCTTTCCCTCTTCTGCTACCTGGGAAAGGAGGTGGTCCATCCCACAGACCCGGCTGTGAGAGGCCAAGGGTGCCCAGGCTCCTGGAAGGGGATCGGCAGCCAGGAAGGGAAAATTCAGGCCAACCTCTACCTCCCAGCCCTGTCTCCAAACTCCAGGGCCACAGAGTCTTCTAATGCGACTGACCAATGACAGTCAAGGGTGCAAGAGCACAGTGCATGAAAATGCACGTATGACATAGATCAGCTATGAACCCGACATGACAGCAGGCTGATGCAACCTGCTGAGAGGTCTGCAGCAGGGGAAGAAGTAAGGGCCATAAAAAGAGGAATGATAAAGACAGTGACAATAAGAACATGCCATGCAACATGCTTTATGTGCGTAGCTAGCTAGGTGGAACTAGGTCTCTCTCTAGTTTCTGAAGAGAAAAGTGGTCAGAGGAAGACAAGTGGGCCTGCTGCCCACTGCCAGAACTGGAAGAGCACAACGAAGGGCCAGGTCTGGCTCTAAGGCTGCAGTTACCATTACCACCACCACCTGCCAGGGACAAACGGACGGGGAGAGGGTGCCCAGACCTAGAGCCCTCAGAGCCGGGGTTGGAAAAACTTGGCACACCTTGATCATGACATCATTCTGGACATTTTGTATATGTGGGATCATACAATATGTGACTGCCATGAATGGCTCCTTTCACTCAACATATGTTTTGAGGATCATCCAGGCTGCAGTACGTATCAGTACGTCATTCCTTTTCACAGCTCAATACCATTCCATTGTAAGTATATACAGGCATACCTCATTTTACTGGGCTTCACAGACACTGCATATTTTTTTTTTTTTACAATTTGAAGGCTCAAGACTTCAGTGGAGGAGGTAATTGCTGATGTGGTGGAAACAGCAAGAGAACTAGAATCAGAAGCGGAGCCTGAAGATGTGGCTGAGTTGCTGCAACCTCGTGATAAAACTTTCACAGATGAAGAGTTACTTCTTATAGATGAGCCAAGAAAGTGATTTCTTGAGATGGGATCTACTCCTGGTGAAGAGGCTGTGAAGATTCTTGGAATGACAACAGAAGAATGAGAATAGCACATAAACTTAGTTGATAAAGCAGTGGCAGATTTTGAGGGGATTGATTACAATTTTGAAAGAAGTTCTATCAATGCTATCAGCAGCATCACCTGCTACAGAGAAACTGCTTGTGAAAGGAAGAACCAATCGATATGTCAAATTTGTCTTACTTTAAGAAACTGCCACAGCCACCCTAGCCTTCAGCAACCACCACCTGATCAGTCAGCAGCCACCAACATCGAGGCAAGACCAGCAGAAAGATGATTACTTGCTAAAAACTCAGATGATGGTTAGCATTTTTAGACAATAAAGTATTTTTAACTTAACGTAAAGGTATGTACATTGTTTTTCTAGACATAATGCTATTGTACACTTAATAGATTACAGTATAGTATAAACACAACTTTTCTATGCACTGGGAAACCAAAAACTTCATCTGACTCATATTATTGAGATAAAACTGGTCTGAAACTGAACACACAATTTCTCAGAGGTATGCCTGTATCACAATTGGTTTATCCACTCATCCACTGATAGACATTCGGGTGAGAAGGGGAAATAAGGAGTTGATGCAGTTTTGGAATACAGGTGAGGTTCAGAGGGGTGCAGTCCAGACCTGACAACCAAGAAAGAATTTTTGAGGCGTCTTCGGTGCAAAATGGTGGTTTATTAAAGCACGGGGACAGGACCTGTGGGCAGAAAGAGCTGCTGCCCCGTGGTCTTGAGGAGTGGCTGATTATATACTCAGGAGTTGGGGAGGTGAGGACAAAGGGGGTGTCCAGAAGGACTGTCATATGCTAAAGACTCTCAGGGTACTGGAGGCCTGGTTATTGTCAAGCCAAGGTTGTTTTTCCCTCTAATGAGGCACTAACATGAAGACAGTTGGGAGTTCCCTGGAGGAATGTTACATTCCTCCTATCACACATCCTTGTCAATGGGCTTCAGGTTCAAAAGAAATTTAATTTTATTTATATTTCCTTCCGCCTCAGCCTCCCTTAATTTTATGGAGGGGAGGGTGATGTTAGGGCTTCAGGAAACTGAGTTATGGGTTTCTTGGAAGTTAGGCTATTGATAAGAAAGCTTCTCCCTTGAAAATCACTAGGACATTGGTAAAGTGAGGGAGACTCCTGTCCTGCAGGACTGTGATCTCTATCAGTTCACCATCTGTTTTTCCTTTAGGGCAGCCAGGAGTGTCTGAGGAATGTCACATATATCCCAAAGTGGGGGGGGGGGGGGTGCGTAGGGTACCAGGTTCTGCTTTGTCCTCAGCTTGCCTTCTGTTCCCTCATCAGAGTGATTACTTAATAGGTACAAGATGTTTTTATGGGGTGATGAAAAGGTTTTGAAACTAGAAAGTGTTGCCCAACACTAAATATCACTAAACTGTATACACTCTAAAGCAGTTAATTTTATGTTATGTGAATTTTACCTCAATTTTTAAAAATGTTTAACAGTGATGAAAATGTTCTAAACTTAGATTGTGGTGATCCTTCCAAACTTTGTGAATATACTGAAAACCACTGAATTGGACATTTTAAAATGGGTGAATTTATGGTATGTGAATTTTACCTTGTTAAAAAAAAAAAGTCAATGACCCAACTGCCACTCTGAGGCTGGGACACTCAAGTGATTTCAAGTGGCCTAAAGTCTTTTAACATAACAGAAATAACAAAGTATCTATATGGTAAAGCAGGGCTGTTTACAAGTACAATTGACAGAAATGGCTGATTGCGTGGTTCTTTTAAAAGCAGAATCCCAAGAGAGACAAATGCAAAGGCGCATGGTGCAGCTGCATTGCACACATCATTCGGGTAAGGTCCAACAAGGAAGTCCATGTCCTTGAAAGGGGGCTGATGTAATCACCCTTCCCCCAGCCCAGCAGAGGTGCAGTCCCTTAGGGGAAACTGCATTGTAAAATCTTTCACCACTGAGCTGTTCTTAACAAAGGTGGTGACACTCTGGCCAAAGTGCTACTTTACCTTTTCCTTACCTAACACATCCTTCTCATTTGTCTAAGGCTCCTATACTGTAAAGTCTCCTATACCACACTGTAGCTTACATCTTTTTAAATCTTAATTTAGTAATCCAACTCACAGATTGTGACACCCTGCTTGAATATCTGGCTACCCTTTCACACAATAGCAAAAGGCTCACTGATCCCCAGAAGAAAAAGTCCAGCCAGGCCTGAAAGCAGGTGCTTCCAGCTAGAAAGGCAGCCAGAAATTGGGAGCCAATCCTTGCCAGTTTTAGTGAATGCGCTCTTACAATCCAGTCTAAAAAGCTGAAGAAAAATTCAGAGGCCATCCAGGCAGTGCTCCCAAAGGTGGCCCGTCCCTGGACTGCCTACACCAGATGACTGGGGCAACTTTAAACAAGGCCCAGGAATTCTGATTGTGCAGGCCAGTGTGGGCCTGGGGACCCTTTTTCTCGTGCTCCCCAGTTGTTTTCGATGTGCTAGATACTCCCAACCTCATCCAACTCCCCACCTGGTGGCAGATGTCTGTCATCCCCCTGGCTGATCATGAGACACAGCCTCCACTGGAAAGTTCTGTGGTCAAGTTTTACAAACAAGCACTTAAACTCCTTGAGCAGTGCTGTCCAACAGAACTCTCGGCAACGACAGAAACGCAGCAACCACTAGCTGTGTGTGGCAGCTGAGCACCTGGAATGGGGCTAGCACGTTATCTAAATGAGCCAAAGATGGCCACTGTGTATTGGCCCTACGTTATTTATTTCTTCACTGCAGGCTAAGACCCATTAGCTCAAAAGGCCCACCAGCACCAAACTCAAACTTTTACACACCTGGTTATTTTAAAAATAGCCAAACAGACAAATTTTTAGCCATTTAGAGTCTGCCTGCTTTGCATACTCTGTAAACCTCGCCACCAGCAGTTACCCATTGATAAGACAGGGCCTGGAACTTTTAAGGCCCTGAGCTGCTGCCGCTGCTGCCCCTAGAGCTCTCTGACCCAGAGACTCACCTAGATAGAGGAGGCCCCTCTCCTCCCTCCCTCACTCCCCTCCCCTTCTGGACTGTGGCCCGGGCTCCTGCCATGAGAGACTGCTCCCACATGCAAACCTGTCCAAGTGTCGCCCAATAAAGCTCATGTGTGCCACTGCCACCTCATAGTCATTTTTTTCCTTGATCAGCCCCCAAATCCCTCAAACTCCCTACACAGTGCAAATGAGGAACTGAATTTTTAATATTAGTCCAATTAATTTAAATAGCTACATATGGCAAATGGCTAGCACATCAGACAGAACAGCTTCGGCTCATTTAATATTCCTTCACACACAGCATTTAATAATCAACTACACACATGTGCCAGGTACTATCCAAGGCCCTGAGAGGACAGCAATAAATAAAGTTTCCTGCCCTCTGCATATTCTATTAAATAAGCAGATACCAGATAGTGACAAATACAATGAAGAAAAATACAGCAGGATCAGGATACAGGAGGAAGGGGAGGCTGGCCACACACACAGGGGTCAAAGCAGATGACCTCTGAACAGAGACTTCAGTGAAGGTGGGGAAAAAAATACCTGGGGCAGAGCAATGCAAGCAGAGGTAACACAGTAGGACTCAACAAGAACTCGGCATGAGTGAAGAATACATACTTTAAGGGTTGTTTAACTTTAAGCCCCCATTCCCAAACCTTGGCCACAGAGACAGAATGGCCATGGCAGGCGGGCAGGCAGGCTGAGACACGGTGAGTGAGGGGAAGCTGCTGGAACAGGTCTGGCCCACAGCCAGAGGCAGATCCCACAGGCCCTGAAAGCCAGGGAAGTGCTGGCCAGTGTGCAGGGGGGGATGTATATGAAGGCTACAGTATAAAGCAGTTCCCTAATTCTTTTACTTGGGGGACGATGGCTGCTCAGGTCACCTCATGCAACACATTCTAAGAAAGACACTTTCCCTTTGCTTGCACTGACTGGGCCCAGATAGATGTGTGCCCTCGGGAGGAGCAAACCTTTGACCTCCCAGATGCATGCAATCACACCACCCTTCATGGGCAAAGCATCCCCAGTCCTGCAGGAGTCCCTCAGACTGCGGGGCTTGCAGAACTTTCCTGGTTGTCTCAGAGTTTGTCAAAATTCCCCATAAGATGTGGTGCCCAGAGCTCAAAGCAAAGCTCTAGTCTAAACCATAACTGTCACTCCACAAAAATGGCTTTAATTGCCATAACTGAAAAACAAGGAGATTTCACATAAAAATCTGGGTTTCCAGCCTCTCTTGAAGAAGCAGAGATCTATGAAACCTGTGAAAAGGCTACAGGGCAGGTGCACAGGGCTTTCCACTCTTCAGACAGACACACACGCTCCTCTTCTCCTGGCCCCACACCTGCTCCAGACCTTACCACATCAGGATTTTATAAGAACTAAACCAAATGACGGATGCACGTGCAGTGCTAAGACCAGGGTCTGGAACAAGAAAAGTGCTCCATAAATGACAGGTAGCAGGAGTGCTGCTCTCCTGGAGGCATCTGAGTCTGTGACTGTCTGGCAGTGGGACTTCTGCACCCAAGCCCTGGGCACATTTATTTTGGCCCAAGGTTCATTCCTGCAAACTCACAGTCACCTGTAATTCTGCCTTTCCTCCAGGTTTGCCCCCTGCCTCTGTACGCCTGCCTCACATTAACTTAAACAAAGGACACTCCATTTATCCCTATCCATTTTCACTGACAAAGTACTGCACATTCCCATCATATTCTCTTTCCCAATCTGTGCTGACACATCCAGGAAGGCCAGCAACTTCCCTTCCAGATGCAGTTTGGGAAATCAACTTGTTTGCTCCAATCCCTTGGAAGAGCCCAAAGTGATGCTCACCTCCTTGAGGACATCTGCACCCTGAAATCTCCTACATTTCTAAGGCCAAGAGAGCAATCATGTTGATACAACAGGAGTTGGCAATAACTGTTGGCTCAGCCATGTTGTGCAAAATCCTCTGTAACTTCACCAGGCAAACTAAAAGGTGTTCTCCACCCCCTTCTGCATATAGGACATCAGGGCCTTGAGTCATAAACTAATGACTCCATGAGATCAAAAACAACCTGTGATTTTGTGGAAAACTTATTAGCCACAGATCCATGGACCAGAGCCCCAGGTGTCAAGGTGACCCCTGAAACCTGAGAAAGTCAAATAGCAGTAAGCCCAGTCTTTAACTGACTGCACCCTGAATTTGTTGGTTTCTCACATTCTTTTAAACTGGGGCTCCTTGACTGTAGATGTCTTCATTCATTTTAGCATTGAAAATAAGTTAGAAACGAGTTAAATGAGCCATCTGAAACACACACCCAAGGGGAGGGATGAGAAGAAAATGCTGATTCCTGACTCCTCATGACCACAACTTTATGATGGCCCCATCTGTCTCTCCACCTTGCCTTCCTTACTCTTCAGTCCTAAAAAGGGAAAAGGAAAATGAATGTAGTAGAGATTCTTATTTAGCTTAAAATCCTTTAGAAGTTTATTGAAAAAGCAGCAGCTAAATTTTCAATATATTCACTCTTCAATCCTTAACAGTTAACACAGAGACATTAAACAGCTATTCTCTCTTCCCAGACTGAACTATGTTCCAAAAGAGAAGGAACAGTATCAGTGTTACAATCCTTCTAATAGCTTTTGTAAAGCATTTGGAGAAGTTGATGCCAAATAATAATGTTTGCACTAGTATGTTAAAAGTGCATAGCCCATCTATATTCCACACTGAATAAAAGGACTTAATGACCACATTCCCCATTATAGCTTAAATACAAAAATTCAAGAGCTTTGGCATAAAACCTTATTTCCAAAGCATAATTTTAAAAATATTTCTCAATCACTGTCCAGCTGCCAATGCTATCCTTATTCATTCATTTCTGCTTCTCTTTTGTCTCCATTACTCTAACTTTATATAAACCACTTCACTCACACAGACCTCAGTGACCTCAGCAGTCAAACAGAGCTAACAACACATTTCATGTCAAGAGTCAGGAGACTAGCTAAGGTATCACTGGGTGTCCCTTCCACTAAAATCTACTGTCCTACTTCTGTTCTCTTGACTGAATAACATATCATTCAAGGTCTTCTTTTTCCTGCTTAGCTCATCTAAAATTTATTCTATAGTTGTCAGATTTCTACTTTCTTCAGATTCCTTTACTTCACCCACTATATACAATGCTTTCTGCCTTACAGTGAACCCTCAACTTTTAAGGTAAATCAAGAAGACAGTGAGGTACTGGAAATGATCACAAAAGAAATGAAAAATAGAACTGCATCAGAAAAATAAGAAAAACAACTACAGAGTTACAATAATAAATGTAGAAAAAGTGAAAACTCACTTTGAAAAAAGAGACCATTACAGATATATAGAAATGGGATCAAATACATAAGAAGAGAAAGAGAGAAACACAGGAAAATAAGAACAATGTTCATGGACAGGGAAGTCAAGAAAATGTCTTAAATACACACAGGTTTGTAAAAGGCACAGTGGAAAAGAACAGCAGCAGATGATGATTCTGTAATATCCGATTCATCCTGCCATTAAGTCAGAGATCCCACAGAGAAACTGAAAAACAGTGTAATTAAATCTGCCCGTCTGCTGTGCACTCAGGAGTGTCAGAGAAGACCAGCTGAGAGTTGGGCCCAACCAACAAGTGCCCTCAGGTGCTATATGCCCTGGTTTTCAACACACTGCCCCTCAAGGCAAACTCAGAGCCAACTGTTCTTTCACTTCCCATGTAGAAGTGTGTGAGCAAGCCTTGTTTTCGTGGTTTCTGTAGTAAAGCACCGCCAGTCTTTGCATGTCCATTCTAAAAGGCTCCTCAGTCATCAGCAGACTATGACTTCACAATATCCACAATCACTTGTCCTGGTTTGCCCAGGGTTTGCACTGAAAGTCCTACGTCCTTGGAAACCTCTGAGTTTATTCAGCATATTACTGACCTTTCCACCAGCCCCAGGAGTCAAATATTACCAAAAATCTCTTCTCTGCGAATTGCCTTTCTAAAACCAAAACACTCCTCTCTGCTACAGCCCTCCCTCAAGTGTGGTCCTCTTATTACCATCAGTGAATATCCAGTCTGTTCCCACAAAAACTAGCCCTCATTATGTACCACACCCCTAGGCACACCGATAAATCCTTCCAATATTTCTATCAACTTATAAGTCAATCAGTTCCACAACTTTGAGGTTGGTCTGCATGGGGCCTCTTGGTTCTCCCTAAAAATTCACAGTTAGGTGACTCAGGAGACAAAATTAAAGAGAGAAGAAGTTTAAGTATTATATTTTTTTAAATGTATGTTTAAGGACCCTGCTTCAGTTTTTAGCTAACAAAACATAGTATACGTAAATTCTGTAAGGTTCAGAGAAGCGAAGGCCAAAAATCTGAGATTTTTTTATTAGGTAGGCATCAACTAGTTTCCTAGGCTTCTCCGTCCCAATCAGGAAAAATGTGCAAGCCTAAATTCTCACAAAAGTTGATTAACAATGTCACTTCTGTTCTCTACTTTTTCCCGAAAACCACAATGAAACTGACCACGCAGCGAGAGGTGGGAAGGTGCAGAAGAGCAGGTGCAGAGAGGCCAGCTCTTCGCTGGAACACGAGGTGCGACCCGAGCATGCTTTCGGACTTCCTTTCAGGACAATGAGAGCGGGGAACTGGGAAGGCCTAGGACCGTGGCGAGGTGGCAAGGTGGTCCTCCCTCGGGGGATCGGGTACGCCAGCAGACAAGAAAGGGGGGAGGGGACGAGGGAGCTGGGAAAGGCGAGAAAGCAACAGCTCCCTAAGCTGGGGAAGGAGTGAGGGGCAGAAAGGGGCAGATGCGGAGCGAGGCGGTCTTGGGACCCCAAAAGCCAGGGAACAATGCTGAAATTGGGCGCAGGGTGCACCCAAGCCTCAAGGACCTGGCAGGTGCATCCGCTTGGTCGGAGCCTGTTTCCTCCCCTATAAAATGAGTTTTGCCCGGGGAATTAAATGGGATGGCGCCTGCAGCGCGCTTGGCAACGCATTTACCCAACTGCTGTTATTGCCGTCCCAATGGTTAGGGAGGGTCGACCCGGCCATTCGCGGCCCACCGCCAGGGCCCCGGCCTACCTGCCGTCCTTGGCCTCGGGGGCCTGGCCATCGTCCGTGACGACCTGCGGCCGCAGCGGCCGGCGCTGCCGCAGCCCGTCCGCCTCGCTCATGGTGCGAGCGCCACAGCCCCTAACCCCGTCACTAACCGGGAAGGAGCAGTTCAGGCTCTGCGCCCGCCCGCCCCGCCCCGCCCCGGCCCGCCCAGATCCGGGCCCCGCGCCGCCCTCGGCCCCGCCCCGACCGCGCGCGGAAGTGACGTCGCTGGCCCGCCCCTACTGGCAACTGGCACGGCGGCCCCTAGAGCGTGTCAGGGCGGCACTTCTCGGCGAGTGCGAGTGGGCGGGCGCTCGGGGGGCCCCGAGCCAGTGCGGCCGCTTCCGAGGGCCCGGAACTCGCGTGGTCTAACCCCGGGCTCGTCCAGCCCAGCGCCTGCGCTTCCTGCGTTCCTTTGTTGCTGGCGGTGGGACCGCAGTAATGGTTAGGCGCGTAGTGGTGCAAATGGGCGGTGCTGGGCTGAGGTGTTGGCCGTTTGTGTGGGTAGAAGATGGCCCTGCTTGTTAAATGACAAAGACCCGGTTCGTATAGGCGGGGTAAAAAAAATACGAGTTCGTACTGGAGGCCTACGAGGGCAGTAATGCCCACCTGAAAATCGTGACCTTTTACGAAACAGATCCTGTTAAGGGGAAATTTTGGGACAAATATGCTGCTCTTTGGATTAAGGCCATTGAGTATTAAATCTTTTTGCTACAACCGAATATTTGACAAGGTTTGTGAAAGGGTTACCCTTAGAAGTAGAAGGGGGGTATATAGAAATCATTAATTACAACAAATAAGGTCTAAGAAAGCACGAAGTAATCATTTAACAGTATTTTAGTCAGTTAGGTATATTTCTAAGTGCTGGGAGGTGATGGTGAGCAAACCACAAACAAGCTCGCTCCCTTACTGAAATTAAACTAGTGAGAGATGACTTTAATCAGGTCATCATAAAGATAAATGTGAAATGTAAAAATTGCATTAAAGGTGAGTAACATGATCTTGTGAGAGCATTTGATAGATTAAGGTCCTAAGAAATGACTAGGATTTTGAGAAGAAACAGGATTTCCAGGCAGAGGAAACCAAATCCCTTTACTGTGTGTGCATCATCTCTAGAAAAGGCATGTTCAAAATGAAGTATTAAGAATTAATTTCCTTATTGCACTTAAAGGCTTCCCTGATCAAACATGCCATTGCCTTTCTTAGTGTTAGGTGGCACTAGAATCCCATATGACTGTTTAATAAGAGATGAAGAACCAGCATGAGGGAAGTGAAGAGTTCTCATATAAATCCAGTTCTGCAGGGATTATCATGCCTGGCAGGGATGTAAATAAGGCCTTGGCAATATTTTACTTCATTTCCTATCCAATACAACCAATATAGCTGTTAGATCCAGGATAGTTTAAACAGCACTGCATGATTTGGCCCCTTTCTTCCTGTCTGGATTATCCCTCCTGCTGTGTTTCAGACACTCAGCATTGCTTGCTATTTCTAATTCTATGCCTCCCTGCCTTTGTCCATATTATTCCTTCTTGTGAAAATGCTTTCCTTCACCCCTTGGCCAAAACAACTTTTGTCATTTAGGATTCACTTCAAGTAACATTGCTGAAAACTCTTCCCCTAATTTCTTAAGCAGAACATCTTTGTGCCTAAGCCACTTTGAACATGTCCCAAGTATAAGACTTAGCTCATTGCATTGGAATTATTTGTATTCCATGCCCAGCATTAAAGCCCACCAACTAAAAACAGCCAGGAACATACCTGTCAAAAGTAAGTAATAGTAATAAGTTAGGTTTATTGAACTTGTTGCAGCAAAGAAATTCGCCAGAAGGACCTGTGAGGCTCCTCAAAAATGGGGGAGTTACAGAAGGTCCTTGAGGGGTTAGGGCCAGTGTTTGTAAAAGATGGTCTTGGCAGTGATGGGCCAGAATTTGTAAACTAGGAGACTCATTGGGGGAGTCAGTGGTCTTACCTGGAACACATGAGTCCAAGTGGAGTTATTGGGAGATCAGCTTGTCTTATCTCGGAACAAGTGGTCTGAATGAGCTAAATTAAAAGGTTTGGGTGGCACAGTTTAGTACCGTTTTTCATGGTGAGATCCACATTGCTGGTTGTGGTTTGTTTCAGTTCTCTCCCCAGGCTCTAGCCTAGCTGCCACCCAGTTATCAGCAGGGAGATAGGATCAATGTAATTGGTTAGAACAGGTTTCTCAACCTCAGCACCACTGATATTATGGGCCAGATAATTCTTTGCTGGGGATGGCAGGAAGAAGCTCTCCTGTGCATTGCAGGATGTTTAGCTGCATCCCTGGCCTCCACCCACTAGATGCCAATAGCATCCCACCTAGTCATGATAATCAGTAATGTCTCCGGACACTGCCAAGTGTCCCCTGGGAGACAAAATAGCCCCTGATTGCGAACCACTGGGTTAGACCAACCAGAAGCTACCCCCATGCACCCTGAGAGTGGGGATGAGGCCCATTTGCATTGAAACTCTGGCCCATGTGGAAGGCATTTATCTCAACAAATCAGGGTTCTGCCAGCAGGGAAGGAGAGGCAGTGATGCTGAGCAAGGAGCCAGTACTGTACCTCACAGCTTAGACTGGAAATACTCCCTATTTCCAGGCCACTGCTTTTTCCCAATCCCATACTGTTCCCATTTCTTTTGTAGATACTTCCCAAAAGCCTTTCAGGCACTTAGCCAAGTGCTGTGACAAAACAAAGGTGAAATAAGGTGAGCCAACTTGCAGACATGTTATGATCTCAGAAGGGAGATAAGCATGATAACCAATCCAAAATGGTACCACGGAGGAACCACACAGTGTGTTGGGGGCCACAGGGAACAAGTCCCATCAGGTAGCAGTGCCCAGAGAAGGTTTCATGGAGGAAGTAGAATTATGATGGCAGGTTGAAGGGATGGAAGAGGACAAAAAACAGGCTTAAAAGGGAAGCGTGGGGTGTCCATGGATTGGTCAACAAGGGGGTGACAATCAGGGTAGACTTCAAAGTTATGAGTAATCAAAGAAGAAGAATCATCTAAAAGATGCTCTAAAGGGGTGAAGAAGAGCAGCAATAGACAGAGCCCTTCTCCCTGCCCCGAATCCAGGAGAGCAGGAGTGACCTGCTCCAAACAGGACTTCAAGCTAAGTTGTTGTGTTGTGATGGGAAGCTCTGACATCAGCTCAGGTGGGACAGTGGAGAGTGTCAAGTTAGAGAATGTAGAATAGCTTGTTCAGAGTAGAAGAAGTATCCTAGAGATCATCCAGTTGCCAGACACAGGCATTCACAAAAGCCCACTTAAGGTATGGGAGGGATTTATTAGAAGGATATGGGGATAGCTTATGGAAGTCCAACACAGAAAGTGCAGCCTGGCCTCACAGGGACCGGTACGAGTACCTGGGAAAACAGGACCAGTACTCCTCTCAGCCTCCCTCGTACCTCACTGTGTCTTGTCTCTTCATCCCTGGTGATTCGGTGGCAAGCCTTGTTACGGGACTGTCCGTCTTCGTCTTTGCTGCCCTCTATTAGAGCTGGGTACAGTGACGCAGGCTAGAATCTGGCCTTGAGTTAAAGGCAGCAATCTGGGGTTTCTTTTGGCCTCTAGGAAAAGTTCCTGCTTTTCCAATAAAAAGGAGAGGTAGTGTCCTGCCCTTTCTTACCCTCCTCTGACCCCCAAGGTTATGCTTAGAAGGGCAGCAGCATCTTGTGACGGTGGAAAATCACCCTGAGGTCTAAAAGACAACACGCCAAGAAGAGAAAACCTAGGCTGCTAACTCCTGCCAGCAACCATGTACCCCTGGGCTTCTGGGTTACATGAGGAAAGCCACCCCTTGTGCATCCAAGGCCTAGTCAGGTGAGCAGTTTGTGCTTGCACCTAAATACGTCCTATCTAATATTGCCAGTGTTCTCTGCTTGAACATGCCCATGGGAGAAAATTATTGCCTCAAGCCCAGCTCTCCATGACCTCCCATTTCATGTATTCCACCAGCTAACTACAGTCTCTTTGTCCACAGTCCAGATTCCTGGACTGAGACTCTGATGCTCCCAACTTTGGTGAGGTGCCCAAGTCTGATTGCCGTGTTAGAGGACAGGGTCCCATGTTCCACTGAGCATTCAGGGCAGGGAGGACTGAGAGAGGAGACTAGGTGGCATAGGCATGAGCAGGGCAGGGCTGGCACACTGAATGATGTCTGCCCCAATGAGAAGCAGGCAAGGGGAGAGGTGAGGATTAGAAATAAGCTGACTGGACAGAACTGCCTTAATTACCCTAATGAGGAAGATTCATAAGGTCAACCCTGACTTGGTAGGAAAAGGTGCTCGTAGGAAAGACATTCACCAGTCGGCATCTGCATAGACCTGGACATTCATTATCGTTACCTCTGTTGAGAAGTGAGCTCATCTGCTCCATCGGTTCCTTGGGTCACTCGTTCATCACATTTCATTACATCCAGAAGCCATTTCTTGAAAGCAACTAGTTATTTCCCTTTGGACGATTTCTGCTCTGCCTTTTTGAGCAAACGTTTGCATACGTGTAAGAGTTAAGTGTTTCCTTGGCTCAGGAATAAAGAGATGTGTGGTTGGCTGAGGTGACATCTTCTTTGGGGAAGACTCAGCCCAAAATGAGGCTGTGCATCCAGAAGGCTGCTCAGCATAAGTTTGGTCTACAGGAGCAAGGAGACTAGACACAGTTACCCAGTTGGTGGCTCTTACCAAGAAAATCCCACCCTGCTGCAAAAGAAGTTGGCAGGCCATCTATTCCAACAGACTCTAAACTCCTTGGTACTTACCAGTCTGTTGATGATGTCCTAGGCCAGCCAGCCCCAGCCTTCTTCCTCTTTGCTCTTTCTAGGTTTATTTAGACTTGGATTTTTGCCCTCTGGTTTCTCACCTTCTTGGCCATGGTTGGTACCCTTTGGTGCAGGCACCAGGGGCACTAACCAGCTCCTTCTCTACTATTTGGAATAAAGACTGGTGCAGGCAGGAACTTCAACTTCACATTTAGCAAAGGCCACTGGTGAGGGAACTCCCTGGGGGTGCACTTGGAGGGTCACAGCTTGCCTCTGGCATGGCTGATTAGGAACAAATTTGGGGGCATCCCCCTGTCTCCCCATATCCTTAAGATAGGG